TTTCTTTTTTTATCTTTGTATCATCAGTGCTTAACTAGGGTCTTTTTCTATATGAGGTTCTTAATAAAAGTCCATTGAATTGAATGGAAAGAGCACATTTAATTAGGTGAAAATATTCAAATGCATTTCTCTTTTAAAGAATCTTTAGTGCCTTAAGGTCTTTTAATACTTATAAAAATGATCAAATAAATATGAATTAAAATAATTTTAGCTTCCCTACATAGAGTAATCTATTAATAAATGTTTCTTGATTTTATGTATACATATACATATATACACAAATATTGTATCTATATCTATCTATTTCTGAGACAAAATTGCTGCTTTTTAAGTTGAAGGCAAGTCAAGTCTTGACTTTGAGGAAAACTTAAATTTCTCATTTAGGCTTCTGTGATTGCTTCTAAAAGATATTAGGCTGAATCCTACTGACCAAGATATTGCTCCTCAGCTCCACATCTTTAGCATCTCTTTAAAAGTGCAAAATTTCAAAAAGATGAAATTCTTAATGTTCACATAACCATGAGACACTAAAAATTAAAAGGGAGAAATTCTCTATTTCTGATAAATCTCTTAAGTTTACACAAACTCTTAGGACAAAAATTTAAGGTCTAGGTTAAGTGTCAACTCATGTACTCTTTTGTCATTTAGTAGTTTCCTTTTACATCCTCCGGATACTCTCTCATGTGCCCACTGAAAGGTTTGCTGATCACATGCAAGGGTTTTGGTCTAAATATTAGAAGATACCACATTTGACAGGCTTTGGCCTTTTAACAGAAGGTGTAATTAGACTTCAAAAATGGAGATGAATATCCTTTGACAAATTTGGATTCTTTTTTTCCCCCAACTCTGTTCCTAAACAGTTTTCTCCTCCCTTTTCTTCTCTACTCTATATGTCTCTGTTTCTCTCCCCTTCTGTCTAGGTCTCTCCATCTCTGTCTGCTGACCTATCTCTCTTTCCTTCCCCTTCCCATATTCAGGAGAATGATTAAGTCATGATTCATTGGAATCACAAGGAATAAAGCAAAGAATGGAATTAGAGAAAAAAGAGGAAAAAGGAAGGCCATAAATTCTGGTTTCAGCAGATTCAAACTTGAATTAAAATATAATGAATGCAGATTGTGTCTTTAAAAATTTTAGACCACAGTTTTCCATTTTAGAAGCAGCATCATTCTGTATTTCCTTCATGCCATTCTCTGAAAATTTCTAAGTGCATTCCAGATATTATTTAATCTACAATTATGATTATATACCAATAAGGGACATATCACTAAACTTATTGGATGGGTGGGGAAGCTGAGGCACAGGTGGATAGTTGAATTATTCCAGAATTACTCAGGTTTTGTCTACATGGCATCAGAATAAATAGTTGAAAACTGAGAAATGTAGTCGATCACCTAATTGTTTTGTCTGCATCACACCAAACAACTAATTTGAATGTTTCTTTTTCTTCCTACTGAATTGGCATCATGCAAAAAAAAAAAAACAACCAAACAAACCAAAACAAAACTACAGGCAGGAGAGTTTAGATAGTACCTTGCCTTTGATGAATACAATGCCTTTAAATGAGCTAAATTACTTCACTTTTAAATCCCTATTAAAAGTCTTAAACCTTTTAAAGGAGAAAGAGTTAGGGCCTTCTACAGAAGAATGTATAGGCATTGGCAGTACTATCTATGGACCTTTGAGAGGTTTTGCATATTGGCACTTAATCCTTATTTAGTTACAAACTCTGTAAGGAAATTTGAGTCCTGTACATGAGTTCTTCATTTATTTCTGAGCCAGGATAATGCTAGGATTACCACTTAGAACATTGGGAGAACAGACTTTTGCACAGTTATCTGGCAGCCAGTATTGAAAATAACCAACTAAAGGTGTCCATGTATACTATGTGTGTGTGTGTGTGTGTGTGTGTGTGTGTGTGTGTGTGTGAGACAAAGTTAGGGGTAGGTATTGTGGTTAAATCCCATTAGGAAGGACATTACATTCATTAAGTGAACCATAGAATGTGAAACAAGAAACAGCCCTATTCCTCCTGCTTCACCACCACCTCTCTACCCCTAAAGTAGCATATCTCTTAAATACAGGAGATTTCTTGCTGGGAAATACTTCTCAGGAGTAAAGCAGAGAACACTATGATCCTGAGCAATTTTAAAGCCAGGACATGCAAGGAATGTCACTGGTCATTTTCAGCACGTTTGCAAGCTTGGTTTTGTTCATAATCAACATGTTTTATTTCTTATGTGACCTTTATGGTTGGGCGGGTATTCCTTTAATGCGAATGCAAACACAAACTGTTCTCATGCATCATCCAGGAATATAAACAGGCTGCCAATTTGATATCCTAATTGTTGTTGAAATTTAAAAAATAGCGGTACCTTTTTTCCCCCCAGAATGATCATGTGCTTTTTAAAAAGTGTCTGAATTTGTATCTCATACTGTTGATGACTGCAAACAGTTCCACTTTGTACATTAAAGAGGATAAAGAAATTACATGAGGCTGGGTCATTACTATATAAGCGGTACCCTAAAATCTTTTCATCCCTAGTACAAATTGCATCAGCTTGCTTCTCACTACGCTATAGGTTGTTGTAATGCCATTTTAAACTTAGCTGGAGAGTTTAGCTGGAGAATTAGGCTCTGTGTTCTAGAGACTAGCATTTTGAAACACAGATTACTAAGTACTTCTAAATAGTTTTAAGCACCAGATGAGCTAGTAGGAAAAATGTAATTCTAATGTAACATTTCACATGAGACACGGCCACCTACTTGCTTTCTGGGCTGTTTGTTTACCCCACATGACCTCATACTGACTGACCAGTCTGGTTTCCCTGAAAAGGGCGGTCGCTTTGCTATAATTTAAACTCCCTCAGGATCTTCAGGGTAACTTTGTTGGGAGAAGAAAGGTGAGACGTACTCCCCCTTTTCACCACTGTAGTTCATGAGCCCCCACTGTTATGATTCCCATCTATGCAAAATCAATTATGATGAGGACACTATTAACTCTTAGGCACAAAAGATTTATTTTATGATGAAGTGAAAGTGACAATATAATATACATATTATGTATTAATATATAATATAATAATGCCTCACATTTATTCAATATAAATTCAAATATAGTAATAATGAATATATTAAAGTTCACACATAAACTTTAGCCACACTCTTACCCATGCATACAGGATCCATTGGGTTGAGTGAGCACATAATTATAGAAATCTGGCAGAGAGACACATGATTTAGGACAACGCATGTACTTAAGGCAATTTACAACTCTAGACTTTGCAGTCCAGAACCCTTCAAAAGCAATCTACACAACATGAAGCCATTCTTTGCTAAAGGCTCATCCTTCTCTACATTGCCAGTTTACTGCTGTGCAAATCTGCTCATTTCCTAACCATGAAATGATAAAGAAATAATATGCTTTGGAAATTCACAATCACCCTTTAAAGGGTATTGAGGAAGTATTACTCTACTGTAATGACAAAAAGTTCCCTTTGAACCAGAGAACTACAAAGGTCCTTAGATTGGTCCTTTGGGCAAGGCAGAGAAGCTCAGCCAGCTTCTGCATCAGGTGGATTCTGCATAATCCTATCAACTATCTGTATCATCCTATCAACTTGTTACTGCAAGTAGAAGTCACCATAAAAACTGCCTTTCCCCATATGCTCTTCCAGTTCAACTAGATGAGGCAAAAAGGCACTTCTGAGAGATTTTGCTCTTCTCAAATTCCAATAGGCCATACATAAAACCAGCAGAGTTCAGCTGTTCTACAGTTAGAAGGCTCCCAGCCTTTTCTTTACCTGGTCCACGAAGCCGTTCTTTCCTCCTGTCAGCAGCTTCCCAAATGTAATGGTTTTTAAAGCCTTTCTATCAGCTGTTTCTGCTATTGCCTTCTCACTCAGCCTCTACCACTTTTTTAACTGTCCCATTATTTTCTCTTTTCCTGGGTTCTACAACTTATTGGATGGCTCAAACCATCACCTCTAAGGAGAAGGTGACATCTTTCCTTTATGAGGTAAAAATCCCACATTTTTAATCCTTCCCCCATAGGCTCCAAACAGTTATTTGATTTATATCTTTGTTAGTTTCAACATTGCAAACTCTAAACACAATTGTAAACAAATAAGCTGAGTGGTAACAATGCCCTTTTACCTCAGTCATTTCCCTGTTCTCAAACAGGTCCTCTAAGTTCTCTGTTTAACACTATAAGTTTTCTATTTGGTCTTCCTAGCCATCTGTGTATCCTCACATTTTTATCCAAAAGCTGTGTTAATACTTTAATTTTATCATTTTTGAAAAAATAAAAGTTTATTTTCTGTCATTTTCATAAGCAAACTATTCATACATAAAAGGGGTAATACTTTCCATCCTTCACAAGTTGATTTAATTATTTTTCTTTATGCCAAAGTTTATTTGCTATCCTAAAAGTTCATTCATTTTGCCCCTTTCAATAATAAAATTACTCACTTGATAGAAAGGCAGTACTCCAGAGAAGGGGAAAAAATATAGCTGAGCAGCCAAATGAAAACAGAAAAGAAAAATAATAACCTTGAAGAGTTTAAATAAAAAAGAAAAGATTAATAATTATTCAAAGACTGTCATGATAACTTTTAAAAAAAGCAGAAAATAAAACTATCCAGATAAGTCTAAAATGTTAAGCATGTCTCTACCATGCTTCATTAAGGGTGGCATAATTTTTTATGTTTTTTTAAAGAATTTACAAAGATTTTCTTATTATTGATTTCCATGTGGATTTCCCAAATGATGGGTGCAGTTATCTGGCTGCACTGAATATATCACTGTCAATGGAAAACTTGACATATTTTACCTAGTGTTCAATCACAACCTGTTTAAAGTTTAGCCATATCAAACATATGTCTATGTCTACATCTTGGACACCTCATCTAGATTTATAAAACAGCAGCCTTAGTACCCTTTTCTTTTTATCTTTGGCAGACAACATTTCCATCCAGCTGTCATTCAGCAGAGTGTTCTTGCATTTTAAAATTTGCCTGAAAGAAAAAGAGAAAGAATTTTCAGGTTTGACAGGAATGCAAGTCCTTTCCAATCTTCTCTCAATATATGAGAGTTGCTAAATTCCACACAATAGTTAACATTGCTAACCTATATCTACTTCCTAGTAAATGAAGGCAGCTCTGTGACATTTTATGAGGTAGGATGAAAGACTTAAAAATTATGATCCAGTCATTTCACCTTTCCTTAGACCATTTTTTTTTGGGTGGAGGGAGGGTGGGAACTTTTTTTTTCACTAGGAATGCCTATAAAAGCTTATTTACTGAGTCAATTAACAAAAGATAACCTCCCATTGTGCAATCATCAATAAATCAATTGTGTTAATACTATCTTGGAATGTCTTCCACTATTTACTTTCATATTGTTTACGTTAGACACTTGACAAAGCGAGCACCCTTGAGACAGCTTGATTAAGGGCAAATGGATTTTGTAGTAGTCATTGACTGTATAATATATATGTACATATATACCTATATATACATGCATACATACATATACATGGATATACATGCACACATATATGTATAATATATATAACATATACATCATATGTAAATTTTGCTAAATATTTGTTTGGCTAGAGTTGACCTACTTCCTAAACATTCCCTATTCCCTTTATGTAGGGATTGTGTTTGATGAATACATGGGAAGACAAACATTTATGAACAGTGATAGAACAGTCACTTAGTACACCACCTACTTCTTTTGTCATTTGAATAATCTATTCACACCCCCCCCACCCCACCCCCCACTCACAGCCACCCTCCACAATCTGTGGAATCAAATTAATCTTCAATTATGTAGAAGAATTTCAGGAACGAGCCAAGCTCAAATTACTGTGTTTCTTCCTGCTATGAAAAGATTTACATTGCAAGCAGCCGGAATTCTGTGTGTTTGTGTGATTTTCAGCAACATAAGTGAAACCTGCCTCTTGGATTCCTGTTCCTGCATGAACTTCAACCATTTGGAAGTTCACCTTCGGTTTGGAGACAATCTTCCTACTATCAACTACCTGTTCTGCAAAACTGCATTTAAACTAGTGAAAAAAGTAGGATTCTTTTTTTTTGAGGACTTCTTACTTTCAATGAAGTCAGAAACACTCTGAATAGGTTTTGTTTGCATCGACCAGCTTCTCAGCTTCTGCCCAGAGGTGGATCCCAATGACACTGGATACAAAGAAAGTAAAACTAGAAGGGGAAAAAAAATGTTCTTAAAGGTTCCAACTTCAGGTTTGGCTGTAGACTTGGGCAAAGTTCACCCCTCCCTTTTCATGACATGCTGCATACTTTTCAAGTCTCCACTTGCTTCTTAGAGAGTAAAAATGTGCCCTATGAGTTCCAGTTGCTTAAGCCAAACTGGGCCCATTTAAGAATAATTTTTGTTTTAAATGTTGTGAAAGTTTTTTTTTAATTGCAATCCAGAATAAATGCCCAAGAGACATATTGTTCCCCACCCTCATACTCATACGCTAAGCAATCTTACCTTCAAGGTAGGAAATTAATTATTCCACTTATTCTCTTTTTGCTTCCTAAATCAGTAGCCTTGGAAGTAAATTGAATATTATGCTGCTTCAGAGCACATCTTCTTGTCAGGCATTGAACTTCATTCTTCTCTTGATAATGATTGGTGGCTTTAAAACTCACATGACTATTGGATAATAAATGGAAACTGTCATTGTTCTAAGGCTGTTCTAAGGCTTTTTTTTTCTTTTTTGCTTTGACCTCATTGTGATATATGTCTACTTCAGGGTGTTTTGAAAAGACTGAGGGAAACAGACAAGGACTTTTAAAGGGAAAACAGACCTCTAATTGGATGCCTCTTGCAGACCCTTCCATGACCCTTCACAGAACTATCCTAATGGATTGGTTCTTATACGGGATCTTAGAACTTCCTATTTTGTTCTTTACTTTCAAATTTTTTCAACAGTGGACTTTAAAAAAATTAATAATAATAGCTTCAATATGCAACAGGGAAAAGATAGAGATTCCAGTTTTTATAAAACAGCTGTCAGAAAAATGATAAAAACTTTTTTAAAACTTAGTTGCATAAGAGTACATGCTTTGTGTTAGAGTTAAAAACAAGGCCTTCTCTCCTATATTTCTGAAACTAGAAATTTATAACATTGTTGTGGGCAATCTTGAATATATGATATATATATATATATATATATATTGTGAATCTTCTTTTGGCCAAACTGAAAAACAAATAGAATCACCCTCAATACAAATCTTTGAATTACACTTTATTGTAGAGTTGAACATGTCTGAAAAACAACTGCACAATAACAAAAAATACTTTATATACCTCCAAGTAGGCATGAGATAAATGAAAACTATGGGTTAAGTGTGGGTGAAAAGATTATGACGTGGAACCTAAAATCCTTCTGGTTTTATCAGTATAATTAAGGAGGCTTGTCCTCCCAAAGTTTCTTTCTCCTTTGCCTCCATGCTTTTATTGTATAAAGATTGACATGGTCCATCACTTTCATTCTTTTCTACCTTTTGATATTATTAGTATTTTTTTACATTATACTTCCTTCTCTTCCATTCTGACATTTTTGTATTATCTTTATATATCATTCCAACTTATCACACTGCATGTACTTGTCTAGTTTCTCTTCATATACATATGAACATATATCTTAAATTGTTTCTTCTTTTGTCATTACTTAAAATAAAGGCAGTATAGCATAGTAAAAAGAATGGTGAGTAAGAATAAGGAGGCTTAAGTTGTGGTTTCATCTGAACCTTAGGTTCTTCAGCTATAAAATAAATGGGTTGGAAGAAATAATCTTTTAGGTCCTTCCCAGATTTAAAGTTCTATATAAACATAATAATGGCATTTAATTTTTTTTTTAAATTGGGGAAAAAACAACTACCAAAACAACAGGAGAAGAAAGGAAAAAGGTAGAAATCATATTAGTCAATTGGTATTTAATAAATACTTACTATGTGCCAAGGATTGTGGGATACAGATAAAAGCAAAAGCAAAAACAACTAAAAAAAAACTCCAACAATGAAATATTAAACAAAAACCACAAGTTATCAGTGTCACAAATAAAAGAAAAGGTGTTGTACAAATTAAAGTCAGCTCTACCCATGTATAACCTATATCAAATTGTTTGCCTTCTCATTGAAGGTAGAGTAAGGAGGAAGGGAAGAGAATTTGGAACCCAAAATTTTTGAAATGGATGTTAAAAATTGTTTTTATGTGTAACTGGGGTAAAATAATATGCTAAATTAAAAATTTTAATTTAAAAAATTAAAGTCAGCCCAAATCCACTTCAAATTAAGCAATCCACTTTCTTCTCCAAAGATAGCAAGCAATTTCCTCTGGCCTTTTAAGTTAGTAGTTATCAAAAATTGCATATAATACAGAAAGACAATCTTCCAATGTTCATACATCTGCTCACCATCACATAATAAGCAACTATAACCTCCAATGAGAATTATGTATTTGTTTAAATAATTTTAATGGTGTAATGTCTTTTACTGGACTTTTGAGACAAGGGCTAAGGAAATCCATCTATGCTTTACTTTTCTCAGCATGTAAAAGGAAAGTTTTTTTGGTAATCAGAAAAAGTACAAAAGGCTTCAGTATACATGATATATTAATGTTATTTTGAGAGTAACAAATGATGTTTTATATTTCCACTATTTGAACAATATTTTATATCTATGGATTGTCTCTTATACTTGGAAGGAATCACAGAAGCTAGTAAATGGATGGGACCTTAGACGACATTTAATTCAATGTTTAATGAAGAAATATGCCTTAGAATAAATAGCATTAAACTCAAGGCAGTAGGCCACAAGCTGCCTGCAAAACTTCTGAATGTGTCAGGAACAAGATTAAAATGGATTTGGGAAATGTTTAACAAAATAATTAAACTTTAATACAACATAGATGGTATTAATTTGTGGTTTTCTAATATGTAGCCACAGTGACTATTTGAGTTTGACCTACAACACTGATCTATAAAATTTCTGATATTTGGTTATCTAGTTTTTGTTTGAATACTTCTGCTGATGGAGAACTCACTATTTTACAAGTTAGTAATTCTTTCTACAACTCTGTAAGTCTATAAAATAGTTCTTCATCCTGAACCAAAATCTTATCTCCTCCAATTTCCATTGATCCTAAATCTACTTTCTGTATTAATATTCTCCCTTCCACAAGACAGTTTTTCAAATATTTAAGGACAACTGTTTTATGCCCCCTAAATTTTTTCTTCTCTAAACTTAAATATCCCTGCTGTCTCACATATGGCATTATTTCTAAACTCCTTTGATCCTAGTTGCCTCTGAACATGCCAATTTGTTAATGTCTCTCTATGCCTAGACCTAAAGACATTATACCTCCCAAATGACCAGACCAACAAAGAATATTTCCTGTATCTGAGCAGTGTTTTTCTAATAGAGCCTAGTAATATATTATGAGAGGCAGTGTTGCCTAGTCATTAGAGAATCAAGAGTCAGGAAAACCTGGGTTCAGTTCTATCTCTGACACATACTGGCTTTGTTACTCTTCATAGGTTACTTCATTTCTCATTACTCAAGGCAACTTTTGGAGACTCAACAAGTCTTAGGGACCGTAAATTGCAGACCATAAGGTGGTGAGCTGCATTTTTAGAAGAAGTTCCCAACTCCTTTTGCAATGAAATTACAAAATCCCTCCAATTCATGTTTAAACCATTTTTAGGCAACAATGGGAACAATGTAATATTGTCTGCCCAAGTTTTCTGAAAAAGTCTTGAGTTAGTAGTAGGATTTGTGGGATCGTGTATAGAGTTATATTAATTGAATATTGTGGCAAAAAAAAATCCTCTCATTTTCTTTCTCCCTTTTTTGGTTCAAGAGTTGTTTAAATTTCTGTCACTGTAGTTTATTATGGAAAGAGGTATAAAATGAAAACCATGGAAAGATTCCCAAAGAGGCTCAGTCTAGTAGAGTGTAAATTCCACAAGTAAGTTTACACTCCTGCCTTGTACAGTTATAGAAGGAAAAGGAATGTGTTTGGTCATAGTTTAAATTCCTGACCTTTTACCCTTGCCAGTATGTTGTCATGTATTTCTCATACTACAGTTCACAATTGTTTGCCAAACAATATGCCCTCCATTGTTAAAGGACATGGGATGACGATATGTCCATAAATGAAAATTCACTAGAATTTCTGTAGTTTGGTCTTAGATTATCTGTGCCTTTGAAGAGTTCTTTCATAGTGAGCAATGCTGAATGCCTAACTATGTTCAGTTAAGCAGAAATAGTAATAATGATGAAGTAACAGCAACAAAAACAACAACACAATTCTTCAGATATCAAATTTCACTTATCAGAACTATCTGATAGAATTAAATTTCTTGAGAACAAGGACATTTTGTTTTTGTCTTATCACTAGCACCTACCACATTGCCTTGTCCTAGTGCTTAATAAATATATCTTGAATTGAATTAAATAGAAGGAAAAAGGGGAAAAAAAAGATTCAGCAACCAAAATAGCTATCATAAAATCTTTGCACAAAAGATCTTACACTTTATTCATAGTTGAACCCTAATAACTCTAATTTTAGACAAAAATCTAACAATCGATTTCTTATAGAAGATTGGATATAACCAGTTAGAAATAGAGGGGCAGGTTGCTAGCAGTAGGCATACTAACCACCTCAAGAAGTAATCATAGAAAGGGCTGCTGGGTGGCGCAGCAGATAGAGCACCAGCCCTGAAGTCGGGAGGACCTGAGTTCAAATCCTGTCTCAGACCCAACACTTGCTAGTTGTGTGACCCTGTGCAAGTCACTTAACCTCAATTGCCTTTAAAAAAATCACAGACATATTGATAAGGGGAATTATAATAAGAAATAACATATTTCCACTATGAATACAAAGCAATTAAAAGCAGTTAATGCCTTCTATATGCAAGTCCCTGCTAGGCAAAAGAGATAGTATATTGAAAAATAATCTTTTGCCCTCAAGGAAGCAAACACTGTTTTTAAAAGTATCAAACTCTTTAACAGAAATATGTAAAATACATGGGAGGGGTTTTTTTTTGGGGGTAGAGAGAAAATAAGATAACTGGAAGAGTTGTTGTTGAGTTGTGTCCAACTCTTTATGACTCCACTTTTTTTTTTTTGGCCAAAGTATGGGAGTGGTTTACAAGAGGAAACTGAGGCAAAGAAGGTTCAGTGACTTGCCCAGGGTCCCATAGCTAGTAAATGGCCAGATTTGAAACAGGAAGAAGAGTCTTTCTGACTCCAAGCCCAATATTCTATCCACTGCAGCATCTACCTGCCCAATTCCAAGAGTAATCAAGGATACATTATTTATTAAAGACAACATAAAGTCAGCAGAGATTCTTGGAAGAGAGAATATGTGCTAACTCAATACAATACAGAGTTTCAGCTGAAGGATAGGACCCTGGACCTTTTGGAAGAGGAAGAAGGAAGAAAAAGGAGGAAGAGAAAGAGGATGAGGAGGAAGAAGAAGAAGAGCAGGAGGACAAGGAGAAATGGGAGAGGAGGCTATGAGGAGGCATATAATGTATAAAAAGCAAAGACAGCTCAAAAAGCACAAAAGTCCAGTGGCATTTAATAGAAAAGTATTCTTCAATGCCTCAAAAGCTCCTGAGTGTATCACTGTGTTATAACACACTA